AGTCAAATGACTTGTTCCTAAATGTTTCCTCCCTGCTCCCACTATCATGACACGAATTCTACCTTGCAAGTCTGGCTAGACCAGAGTATGTACAGTAGTACAGATAGGAACTGGAAATACAGGGAATCCAGGGCGGATGAGCCCTACAGGACCAGTGGACTGAGTGGTGATATAGGGAGGGTGGAGGGAGAGTGGGCTGCAAAGAGGGAACCAATTACAAGGAACTATATGTGACCTCCTCCCTGGGGGACGGACAACCGAAAAGTGGGTGAAGGGAGACGTCGGGCAGGGAAAGATAAGACAAAATAATAATTTATAAACTATCAAGGGCTCATGAGGGTGGGGGGGAGTGGAGAGGGAGGGGAAATATGAGGACCTAATGACGGGGTCTTAAGTGGAGAGGAAATGCTTTGAGAATGATGAGGACAATAAATGTACAAATGCGCTTTACACAATTGATGTATGGAATGTGATAAGAGTTGTATGAGCCCCTAATAAAAGGATTAAAAAAAAAAAAGATCGTCAAGCAGTCTCTTTCATTGAGCTTTATTATCTCAAACCACTAGAAGAAGTTTCTACTCAATGCAAATGAGATTGATGAATGAGAATCTATTCAATGGCCAGGTGTGTAAAAATCAAAATATAGATATTTTTTAAAAATTAAGAAAGCTAAATTTAGATAAAATAAGTAAGGGCTAAAACTCTAATAAAACTTCATTTCAGCAGTGTCTTGTGGTACATAAATAATTGGACTTTTGGTCAATCTCTAATGCTTGTAAGGTTGCTCAATAATTGGCAATTCCAGACTATCATATATTTGCTATTCTCATATTTTCTTTGCTTTTTATTACATGTCTTAGTTCTGAAAACAATTTTACCTTAGTGATTGAGTGTTATTGAAATTATTACCTGTGTCTCACCCTCATTGTTCTCTTAAGTAGTATCCTGTTACTTAAGATTTTTAGTCTGTATAAGTAAACATTCCAAATATTTCGGTCTAAAAAACCCTCCTATAATGGATAATACTTTTTTCTCATTGTATATTAATGAGAGTATTCTTAAAATTACCAAATGTCTCATGGCTATTGCTTATTTTATTTCTCAAGAAGATATAATGCTGCCTCTAAAGTGGATTGTAAATATGTTAATGGACTTTGAGCTCCCAGTTAATTGTAAACCTTATCATAAAAACAATGAGTTCTTATGATGTGGCCTCTTTCAATCCTTGTTTGTCATCAATCGAACCAGGTTTGTCATCAATCGACATTTCCCCTTTTTTGAAACAAGAAAAGCACTTATATACTTGAGTTTTTTCCATAGTGCTGTCCTTGTAAGCTGTGTTCAACATCACAACAGTTTCTGTGGCATTTTTCCCCAGCAGGAAACAAAATTTCATAGTCGCATGCTGTTCTGTTACATTGGCCATCACAAAAAAACGAGGTTCACATGAAACCGCTTTTATGAAAAATTCACTGTGACCAGAGAGAACCTTCCCAGGTAACACCACTGGGTGCACTAACTGAGAGCATGTTGCTGGATGCTTGCCTAGTGGGAAAAGTGCATACTACAAAAGTTCCACCCAGCAGAGCTTTTTCTGTTTTTTGGGGGTGGTGGTGGTGGTACCCCCTTCTATATGTGATGAACATTTAAAGATAAAATGCACCTGAAGTGGGGGCTGTGAGTTTGTGGGGAAGGGGTCTACTCTTAATGGAAACAAAAATAACAAAGATATGTGAATTTCCAAGAGTAGACCATTTACAGCTTAGAAATAGAAAAAAAGAAGAAATTATCTTTACCATGGTAATGGAAAGAAGCTTAACTCTTTGGAGGTCACATGCAGAGCTTTTGGGCTTTCCTAAGTAATTGTATCTTTGTGAGAGTTACCATGTCAATAAAAGACAAAAAGAAATTAAATAAATGCTTCCTTTTAAAAATCTATATGAATGTAACTTGCATTTCAAGTCTGTATATGAGTACTGCTCACCCCTTCCAGATAGCATTTTGTAAAGATAACTGTACAATTTTTGTTTAAAAGTATATTGCTTCATACATTTTCACACTGAACTTTATTCTTTTATCCTCAAATTTCTGCTGTGGCATATAGGAGATGTTGATTAAGTCATGAGTTGAAACCTTTGGATAACTGCAGGCTAGTAGGATATACATATGGAATGATGTATCAAAGTACCAGCAAGGTATTCTGAAATACAACTAATCTTGAATTCTGATCATATCAGCATTGCTGTTTTTGCATCCTTTTTCAGGTTGAGTTCTTTTGTTTTTAACCAATCTTTTAGTTTATATGCAGCTATGCCATTATATAAGGAGAAAATAGCAACTCTGTTCCCCTGCCCACCCTGTAAACAGCCATGTTGTACAAGAAAAACTCTGGAACAACAAACTGGCAATGATTTGTACCCAGATGCAGGAATACTTATGGACTAAAATGAAAAGATTATCAATGAATTCAGATAA